AAATCTTATAACAAAAACCTCGTTATCAAAACGAGTTTTTATTATTTTTTTTTTTTTACAAATAACACTGAGAAATTAACAGGGGCGATATAAAATGTCAGATTGCGAGAGACAAATTCAATGAAAGTGCTCGTAAATAAGTGGATTACCAGTTAGGTCAGATCAGTGGTTAGCCTCCGCTTTCGGGTTGTCTAACGACTGATATTTATTGTAGTGGGTGTGGATCGCGGATCGACAGCCCGTCGTTAGCACTACCGGCGGCCATTGCTTGACAAGAGGAAATACACGAACGTTTAAGGGAGAAATACACAAAAATAGGAATATTGAAGCTTCTACGCTGTTCTCGAGGGCGAATATTTTAACGCGAAAGAGTTAAGAAGCTCGTTCCACGGAAAGGCCGGTGTCGCTGGCGTCACAAGAAAATCCCGGACGCTAAAATTCTGATTGGTGGGTAGGGTTATGACGTCACAGCCCCATTACCTAGCCCGGGAATTTCAAACAACCCACAACGCTCACGTGAAACGCGACGTCATCTGGGGATTGCAAGTGATGAAAAAATGCGACATGTAATGCGCATTAGAGGTCGCCGCATGTCTCAAATGATACCACTTTATGAAGTAATTTCATTGTCTTAAAGAAAAATGTCAAGACATTTAGGCTCGATTCGAACTCAAGGACCTTCGGTTGCGAGCCAGGCAAGCTACTGACTAAGCTACCGTGTCCGCCGCACTTCGTGCTTACTGGCAGGAAGAGCATCAGAAGCGAACAAGACGGCAATGCGAAGGTGGCCCGATAATGCTGTCGCGTTCCACTTTTAAAGGCGATGCTTAAGCGTCATTTTAGTTTTTTTTTTTATTATTATAATTATACGCTACTATATTATATCATGTGATTGAAGATCCAATCGGTACTTGCCAAGCGATCGAACGCCGATTAAAAACATAATATGTGTCGGAGCACCACTGATTCCGGCGGCGTCCCTTGTATCAAGTTCTAAATAAAATACACGCTCTACAAATGATGACACGCTCCGAGTTTTAGTTCGTCACAGAAGCCCTCTCTTCAGTTCAAAAGAAATGCTTGCAACAGAAGTGCGCTGTGCAAGCGCTTGAAGCGATGCGAATGTCCCCAGTAAAGGCCTTCTGAATTATCGGCTGCTAAGCTCTCATGACCGCAGGATCACGAGCGACTCCACACTGACTTTCTGCAAATCTTGTATCGTTGCACCTCATCACAGTTTACGCCCAACAAAGTCACAACCTTTGACCCTCAGCCACGAAACATTTATTAGTGCGTTAGCATTAGTGCCCACATGGCAGGGAAAAGCTGACGGCGTCTGTCTGTAAACAAAACAGAAAAAAAGGGAAGCGCGCTGCGTGGAGAGAAGAAGACTAATGAAGGACGAAGGCGAGAGGGAGGCAACGTCACGGGGCGAAGCCAATGCACGCGCGGATGCTGAAGTGAGTCTGAACTTGCAGGTGTGCGGAGCGCTTATGCCTTGGAATGTGCTACAAAATGGAGGGGGAACCAAGAGACGTCGTCCTGTCTATTTTCTCTCCTTCTACGTTTTGATGTTCCTTCTCTACCCCAGTCTCAGGTTAATTCAACATGGGCAAGTACTAGCGTTGGTCCAAGTAATCGGCAAAAATATTAAAGGCAGATTCATTGTTCGATCTTTACAAAATGCGTTATTGAGACCCTTGAGGAACGCCACGGACATCCCCTTTCGGGAAACGCTAACACTGGCCCCGTAACGAAGCCAAAAAGAGGCCGCAAAAAAATAGCGGAGGAAAAAAGAAAGGCAAAAGAGACAACCAAAACAGAAACGTGAAAGGGTCAGCGCTTTCGTTTTCCAAAAGGCGAGGTGTATGGCCTTTCCCAAGGGTCACGCTAACGTATTCCCCTAAAGATCCCCTAATATTCCCTTAATTAAAGAAAAACATTTATTCTAATGCCTTCGATTTTTTCAGCGAGAATATTAACTGTCATTCTCGGAAAATGTGATAAACGTGTTATTGTCAAGAACCACCTTTTAAAGTAAAAAATTGCAGTTTTCCCAGTTTTTCTCATAAAGCCCCATGCACTAGCTGGTGTCAGGCGATTGCCGTAGGTGGTGCCTCTCAACCCCAGCAAGACTAGCCTCTATCCGCGATCCAGCCTACTACAATATAGATCATTGAATATAACGACCTGCTAAGAATAGTTTAACGCCATCCGTGATTTATAAGCATGTCAGTTCACTATAATATTTGCAGCTATTTTGGCGGTTTATAGACACAACATTGCGACGAAAACAATGAAGACGTTGCCGTCTCGCACAAGCCCGTCTCTATCCCCACCTATGGTCGGAGTCAGTCGCACCATCTAACAGGCTACACTTCTTTCCAGATGTATTCGACCGCTTTTCAAGACACTGAGTGTTTGCTCAGCGCTCTAAAAAGGTGGGGGAACTGGTGTGCACTGAGGAATATTCAACAGATGAGGCCGAGTCGCAATTCTCCCACTGAACACTGGGTGAGCTGGCCCTAAACCTTGACTAAGATTTTTTACTCGCTTTCTACGTTGCACTGGGGAGACAAGGAACTAAGTCGTGCCTGTGAATACCACATGCTTACTTAGCCGCGAGTATCGCCCGGCACGTGATCATTTAAAAAGCAACTCCGCTCAATTCCAAAAAAAAAAAAAAAGGTTTACATGTGATTTCATTTCACAAAGCACCACTAAACAGCTCTACGTGTTCAGATTCGCGAAATGTAGAATATTATTTGTGTAATCCTAATTTAAACATCAGCTGATACCGAAACCGAAACTTCTGTTGCGTCAGGCAACATTGGTCTCGCGTCGTCAGAGTCATGGCACGTCACGTCGAACTACCTGGTCTTGTGAGGTTCGGGGGGGCGAGGGACAGGACGCGCGACGCGGGCAGGTCGCTTCGCATGGCGTGGACGGTGATAGCCTGGGGGAGAGAGGGAAGGGAAGAATACAAAATAGGAGAAGGGGAGCGGAGAAACAGACCGATAAGCGCGCAGGGCAGAGCAAACTAGCGCATCCGCGTTACGGTGATCACGTGGATGCCGTTGAGCCAACACCGGGAGGAGAATCTCATGACGTCATTGTTAAATTTCGCTCTGAGGAGTAAAAACAAACAAAACGTGAGAATGACGTAGTCATGCCTCTGACGTAGTAGCTCAACGTTCGCCGCTCCAACTCTGTCGCATTGACTGCGCTGACGATTGCGCCTCACGTCGCACGCTAGAGTTGGCGGATTTCGGCGACTTGGCTCACTTGAAGGTTTGCTGGCCAGTTTATTAAATATATAGACGGAATTAGATCGTAATATTTGGCATGGGGTCTTCCTATATGACACTCAAGAGGGCTACATAGTTTTCTAAATTTCAAAAATGAGGCGGAGTTGCCCTTTAAGACGACGACATAATTAGTACGATACTAAGCAAGTGCTAGCCAATCTTGGTGAATAGGGTTTTACGTGCTTCTTTTCGCATAACTCCCAGTCTCTGTCCTCTTAAGGTTTAGAGCGCAGCACTTAGGCGCCTGTTTCCCTGTTTCGCGGCGTCGTCGTTAGCGATGGCGTAATCGCGCTAATATATAGAGAAAAAATAGGCATCACATAACCTCAATATCAATTCAATTCAGTGCTAAACATAGAAAGGAATTAAATTGGTGTTGAGGTCACGTGACGTCAATATTCCCCCTAAACCAAGCGGAGACATTTGAATTTGTTAATAGGTGACTTGACACCAAGTCATGTGATGTCATTTTCCCCGCTAAATTTAGCGGGGAAATTGATTTGGTGTTGAGCTCACGTGGCTTTATATTTTTCCGCTAAATTTAGCGGGGAATTGTGGGAGGATGGGACTGCATGTAGGAGGAGGAGCTGAGCGTACGAATGAGGAGGAGGGGAGGGTATCCGGAAGGAGGAGGGGAGGGTACGGAGGATGAAAGGAAAAGAAGGAGAGGAGAAGGGGGAGAAGAGGAGGATGGAGGGAGAGTACGAGTACAAAGAGAGGAAGAGGAGGAAGGGGAGAAAGAGAGGGTACAAAGGAGGAGGAGGGAAATACCCTCCCTCTGGGCCTTCCCCTCCATACCCTCCCCTTTTCCTCCTCAAGAGCTGCGCTCTAATTTCGCGTTACAGATATTTGTAAACGTCTTTCTTTTCTTTCTGCCTCGCACCCCCAGCTTATAATTCAATTAAAAATTATCAGCGAGCGCAGCCAAAAATAATTGAAAAAGCCACATGTGTATAGCAGTCACAAGAACACATGGTTGACACGCGGACACGTATGGTTCGATCCCTGTCATCCAACATTTAATTCCTCTAGTCACAGTAGGGTCTGCGTAGAAGTTGTAGGTCGCCATTCGCTGTCAGACTATCCCTAGTTTTTGATCCCGCTGTGCAGCCGTCATGGGCGCCGGTGACGCCAGATATTGTAGTTTGCTTTCGGATTAGTTTGTCACATTGAAGGCTTTGTTTCATGAGTTTACCACTCGCTTGTCTTTTGTAATTCGTGAGAATATTCTACTTTATTAAAAGTGTTCGTTCCTATTTCCTATTTAAAAAGTGTCATGTTTATCCGTGCACTTCGTGGCATTTAGTAAGTACAATGAATCTATTAAGAAGGCTAGATTTACTCGAACTAGTGATTTCGTCCAGAGGAAAAATTTAATGTTTTTCAGTTCTCTTTCGGTGGCGCAATAATTTGTGCTCATTTATACATTGGAATTAATATTTTCGCTCAACTACAAGACTTGGAAAAAAAGTGCCAATGAGTTGTGCTTGGAAAATAAGCAAGTATTTTAATTACATCTTCTTTTGTCGTAGCTAGAGAAGCACTATATCGAATTATGCGGATATTTGATTTCTACAGTCCATTAACATGTTTCTTTCTACCACAAGAATTCAACTCACCTTCAGTTTATCTAGCTTATGGCAAAGGTCCACAACACTTTTTGTGCCTTCCATGTTGATCATCACAGCGTTTCTGAAAACAATAGGCTCATTTGTGCACTCAACACGAATTTAATTATGGAGAACTTTGTCAATGTCATACCGGTGGGGGTCACGATAAATATAGATCAAGCAATGCAATTGTGAACCTGAGGAAAACACTAATAGATTGGTTTTCTTCTATATACAAACTCTAGTGGGAACCAAATGTAACACTGATGTATTTGGCTGTTCTCTTCGGACGTGCGCACTGGATTTAGCTCGCGTTCCATCTGTGAAGGAGATATTGAGCATGACTGACAGCCAAACATTGACGATGCACTTGTGTCTTATCTGTGTCCAACGCTCAAACAATGTTGATGACGTATTTAATGGAGTGAACAGTTATGTAGATAAAACATTATGCTGGGGGCAAAACGACCCAAACAAAGCCCGCCACACAGTTTCACATTCTCACCAATATATTCACTTGGCTTCATTTGCCAGAGAGTGTATATTTAGGGATACACAGAACACACTGAGTATATAAAGCAGGTCCGTCATTTACACTGTTAATCGGAGTCGTCAATTAGAATGCATTTTCTTCGAAGACAAAGCAATGCGCAAACACTATTTATCGCAGAGATCAATGCCTTGTGAAGGCAGCGCTCTTCTTGGACCCATTTTCCCGCGTATTGAACGCTATGAAGGAAAGTGCGGTATTATGTGGAAAAACAAGTGTTACAAAGGTTTGCTTGGAATTTTCAAAATTGTCCAACAAATTTCAAACAACTTTTTTTTTTAACAAATATCTCGCGAAGTGTCAATTTGTATCTGGAGATCTCAACCCTTGTCTAGGAAGTGCACTGGACTTGACCAAGCTGATGCAAAGGGTGAACGCACCTTCGTCTTTCATAGAATGTTGGAGCCTTAACGGTTACCTTGTGGAAGGCCAGCATTCAATAGAACGATCTCACTAAGCGTTCGGCGCAAGCGTGGCGACGCCATAATTTTAGTTCACAGGTTTGGGCCGTCTTGTGCTCTACACACCCAGACCTTCAGCAAGGTTGTCGCTCGTGCAAAAAATACTTAAGTTACCTGGATTCATTGTGCCAGTGGCGACGAAATCAAACTATAGCTGGTCAGATCGCTGAACCTGTTCAACACATTATTTAAGAAAAAAAATTGCAGTGAAAACGAGAACATTGCTCTCTTTGACCACCCACACACTTAGAAAAAAGGGTCAGTATAGTCTTCCCTAAAGGGAGGAACGCTCTTGACACATATGTTCCTTCAGAAAGGGAGAAACTTTCGTCCCTTAAGCAGGGGAGGAAAAGTTCCTCCGTCGACTGCATCTCATTATGGCGGCCACGAATCGAGCAAATCGAGCTCGGTAAGGCTTAACGAGAACACTAAGTCTATTGCACGAAGCGAGAGGAGCAGGAAATAAAAACGTAACACGAGCTTTCCGCGAACTGTATTTATTTCCGAAGTTTCTTTACCCCTGCAGGTAAAGAAACTTACGTTTCGAAAGCATGCAGTCACTCAGTCTTCTCATCGTCAGCACTGCGATGTTCAACGGAGACAACCGGCACTCAGTTCGCGCACTTTATGCCCTACCTTTGCTATTCCTCGAGCCGCAATTCCTTCGTCAACCGTGGCGTCAACCGCACATCACGGAGGAGTGAAAATCATTCGCCCGCAGAACCAAAAGCCGCTCTCAAAAAAAAGCAAATCCGAAGCAACCTCTTGGCTTATCTCAGCACGGTAACACGAAATTATGACGTAGCCGCGTAGCGTAAAAGTATGGTAAAAGGATGTTAAATCGCTTGCCACCAGATGGCAGGGTCAAGCAGAGTAATCGCACGTAGCTAGGCTAGGTGGCGCTAGGTACCGCCCAATTCATGTTTTACAAAAAAATATTTTTATTTCCTTACGCCACAATTGCGTTTCCTTTTCTTCGGAATCTCTAACACATGTAGACACGTTGCGCACACTACAAACCCTACAAACGTCAGGTCATAATATATTGAACGCATACACAGGCATCGCCATGGCACATACAAACATCAATACAACAGCACACTACCCCGATCACTACTACCGAGCCCTGCGTTTCCGTCTTTTATAGTGGTCGTTTTGAACGTACGGAATTTTTCGGTGACTCCCTAAGCAAAAAAAAATATTCCGAACATGTTCATTTTTTTCCAGCAATGTCATACATCTGAGGCTATTTTTAATGGTCAGGGGATGAATCTCTTATTAAAAAGAAGACGCTCGATCATGCCATAATTATTTGAAAGCCAATAAATCGAGCCGCTCCAATGTGGTTCCAAGCCATGAGTTTGTTTTCCCTCATGGCCCTTCGTAGCCAGTATTTATATTGTAGTGTTCGTTTTTCTATTTGTGCTCTTCGCGCAAAGCTGCAATTGCCGTCTTGAATTTAATCTCTTTAGAGCAGATATCCACTCAGCTGGAAGTGATGCTTCACGGGCACAGAAATCGCTTTTCGATCAACTTGAATGCAGTCAAAGCCGCGACTTCTGCGCCGTTGCGAGCTCGAAAACTTCTAGCGCTCATCCCAGCGCGCCACTTAGAGGGCAGTTTCTACAGGAACCGTAATATATTTAAACAGTAAAATAAAGGATAGCGTTTTTTTATTTTTTCGATTTTGCCTGTCTTTTTTTTTTATGCTAAACTTCCATTATAAATATACGTACTTTCCGTCATACTTTCGTAGTGTTGTCTTTTCCCCAGAGCGCAATCGCTCTCGGGGACCGACAGTCACATTGGCCACTGTACGATAGGAGCTTACCGTTCAGACCAGCGTTCCAACATGACTATCCACACGTCGATCGACTGCACCTAATCCCTCAAGTGGTTTTAAACTCTTTAATGTAAAGCGGAATGTCATCCTGCGACACTCCGGCCCCTCCGATAACGGCCCGACCAGCGGCATCAATGCCCGACAGTTTACGTCATCTCATCTTGTTCTTACACCACTGATACGCGAACACACGGTCACATCGGCGATAATTCCAGTCTTCTGTTCACAACCCACAACACTGCAATCACGATGTCGCTGACACGAAGAAATACAGAACCACGTTGACGATGTTGCTGACACGCAGAAGAATCACGTTGAACGCCGGTTGGCACTCGGCACGGGACAACGGAACCGAACTCAGCACGGAAGGCACCCAGGCAGCCGGCAGGAAAACCTGCCTTCCTTGGACGCAGTTCCCGCGATTTCCATTACGTCGAAAACGTCGACACAGTTCCTCGTGGTTTCGCTGCTGTAGTTCCGCGTGCGTCCCGCAAATTGAAGACGGCCGTCTTGGCCGTCTTACCCAGTGTATGTAGCGCTGCTGGCACTGCTCCGGAACTTCGCTGTTTCTAGCGGCTTCGTTAGCTCGTTTGAAAAAATTAGTGGTAAAAACGTCAATGCAACCGAAATGTTCTGCACGTTTGCACTAGAAGACGGAATTACAGGCGGCCTTCGCTGCCGCTGAAGCTCAATCAACTCAACATTAATTTATTAAACAACGTGCGCGATGTGCTCGAAAAACGAAACCGAAAGAAGATGGGTCGGGAGGGCGAAAGCTTTCTCCGGTCTGCCTGGAGGAGGAAAACGTCTCGGAGAATAATAAGGACTTTAATTTTCATTTCATCGGTCTGGGTTTGTTTATGTGTGTTTTGGTAAACAAAAATTTACAAAAAAAAACAAAAAAAAAAACGACTTTTTTGGGGATCGAGCCGTTGACCACTTGGTCAGTAGCGCGATGTTCTACCCCTGCGCCAACTGAACCAGGAGGAACTCGCCCTCCTGCTTTCATCTGAACTGCCGTTCCTCCCTTCTCTGGGCAACTTGTCCGCAACAAGGAGGAACAGTCGCTTTTGCTACCTTTCTCCTCCCTTTTTTCTTAGAGTGCACTTGCATAAATAATGAATGAGGGTATTCAGCGAACTTTATCCTTGGGACATGCCCGTTTGAGTTCTTTTAAATTGTGTGCTTCCATGACATTGTGATTAATTCTTAGACAGATCGGCAGTACGCCCCTCCTTCACCAGTTTACTAGAATAGCCTAAATCGTTAATGACGTCGGTGGTTGAAAGGCTCCTAAAGAGATCAAGCAAGGTGTAAGCGTGATACAAAACCACAGGGACAAGACAAGAAGACCGGTGGTAGGCCATGCATGCATAAGTTCTCTCACAGCCTTAATGCAAAGAAAGCTAACATAGATGTAAACTTTTAGTCCCAAAAATATTCGACAGCATACGCGAAAAGGTAAATGCAGTAAGCTGCTCCACGAAGCACGAAACGAACTTTGTTTCCCGTGCACAAGGTGTCATTTGTACCTTCCCGCTTTCCGGTGGGGGAGAGTACACAAGGTAGAATTTACAGTCTTTAAATGACCGCCTTCAAGAGCCTGGCAAGAACATAGTCAACGCCAACTCAGGACATAGTGGAATTTACTGTAGGAACTGTGGGTGCTCAGCGCTTTTAAAGAAGTGTACTGTGCTAGGCAAGAGTCCCAAGCAACTCACCACTGAAATTACGGAAGCGGCAAGCATGGAAACACGGAATGACAGGTGTGTCAGCCGCCCATCAACCGCCCATCAAGCCGCCTACCATTAAAAAATTGCACTAAAATATTTGGCCAAATGGCCACTCAGGCAACAACAGCGATAATTCCTTAGTATTTTTCATATTTAAGTTTTAAATTTTAGCTCTTCAACCTTCATTTTTGTTTTTATTATTAATTTGTAATCAGGGATGTGCAGTATTTCAGATACAGGTATTTGAAATACGTATTTCAAATACTTTGTGTATTTTGCATTTGAATTTAATTACAAATTGGGTATTGTATTTGACGTGTGTATTTAAATACTAAAACGTGGGTATTTCAAATACAATTGTAATTAAATACATGTTTGCGGGCGAAAATACATGCTTCAAATATATTGTCACTGTCCGCAGCAGGAAGAAAACTACGTTCTGCACAGAATGCAGTGTCTCTCAATCAAGCACAAGCGTTTAGTGACTTTGTGATT